CAGGGCAATGGAACCAAAGCCAGACAGGCTGCGACCCAAGGGAGGAGCTGGGCCGTCCTTGGCCTGGGGGAGGAACAGGAGTGTGCACCCTGGAATTCAAGAGCTCTGAGAGACTGGATAGGGTAAAGGCAGGGGGAGCATGTTTATTCATTCATTCACTCAACAAACACTTATGGAGCTGGGGTTCTAGGCTCGGAGGCCTCTATGTGGTGAACAAGGGAGTCCCTTCCCTGGAGCCGAGACTGACGCTGTATGGTAGTGACACGTCCTAGGAACAGCCAGATGGATGGAGAGCAGGTGCCTGGTAAGAGGAAAAAGGACTTGGTTTTTAAAGGGAAAGAAAGGCCACTGTGGGAAATGACTCCTGAGCCCACCTGGATGATGAGGGCACAGGCAAGGGACCCCCTGTGGGGAGAAAGCATTCTGTAGGAAATGCAAAGGCCCTGGGTCTGGAATGAACTTGGCATTCCTAGGAATAGATGCAGGGCCACAGTGGCTGAAAGAAGAGGGAGCCGGGGCCAATCTGTGTGGTTCTGGCCACATTGCAAAGGAGCTTGGATTTTACTCTGTGTGTAATGAGAATCCACGCGAGGGTTTTAAGCAAGGAACGGTTTGATCTGAGTTCTGAGAAAGTGCTACCTGCCTGGCGTGCAGTCTGCAGACCAAATAAACACAAGCAAATCTTGTTTGCTCAGGGGTGGAGGGGACAGGGTGGGAAAGGTGCCGGATCAGAGACTCCTGGCTACACGGGACTTCAGATTGCATCGAGGGGCCTGATAAAGGCACTTGTGGAGGAGAGGAGATGAGATGATAGCAACTGGATGGATTTGTTCCCCCCAAGTGTTGATCCGGGATTACTGTCAGGCTGGGGGGAGGGTCTCTGGCAGTGTCCCCAAGACTCTGCCCTGGACTCTCCTCCCTTCACCACTTCTTTCCGTACGTTGGCGGAAGACACAGAAGACACGCTCATCAGACATGCGGCTGGCACAGAGCTGTCAGGGACAGCTAATGCCACGGATGACAGGCTCAAGATTCACGGTGATGATCCTGCACAGGCGGGAGTGACGGGAGGAGACCAGCAAGATCCCTGATTGCATTCAGTCTGGGGAACAAAGCCCAGCTCCGGAGCCAGGGGAGCCTCGCTGGCTCACCAAGCCCCAGCTGGGGTGGGCAGGGGACAGTGCAGGCCGCCGGCTCAGCCACGTCCCCACAGGGGCCTCCTCCTCTTCTCCGTGACGAGGTTCTTAGCTCTTCAGGGTCCCTCTTGCCATCTGTCGGGTGGGGCCTGTGTTGCTGTTGACAAGGGTTGTGTGTGGGAGCCTGGCTTTCCATCCAGCCCATGGTGGATTCGTGGCACATGACAACACTTTGAGGCAGCTCTCAGGGGCAGATGGAGGGCTCATAGCCAGGGGAGGGGACACAGTAGCATCCTTTCTGTGCTTGCCAGCATTCCAAGGGCCCCATTAGCCCCTGCTGTATTTCCAGAGGAGAATGACCAGGAGTACTAGGGAAGCTGCATCTGCCAAGAGCCACCATGAATCTGGAGTAGAGAGAAGGAGGGATCACACCTGGGAGGGACGTGAGTGTTTGTGCCTCTGCTCCCACAAAGGCTGCAGGGTGGGAATGGCAACAGTTGCTCCCCATTGCTCCAGATGTCAACAGCAAAGCTTGAGAGAGGAAGCAGTGCAGAGAACATATTTTGGTGTGCCATAACCAAAACCTAGCCACTGGCCGCCATGGGGCAATCATGATGTCGTGCACCTGTTGCATGGTCTTGCATCATTGCTGACCATAACCTGTGACCACCACATAATGATCAGGACACCATGCATGTGTCTCCATCATTGCTGAGTTCTGACCACTGATCACGTTGGGATCTCAATGCCATGCACCTGTCCCATAGGCTTGCATCGTAACAGATCACTTTGGGATTGTGATGGGGTTGCTAGGCACCAGTTTGTGGTCAGCATTTTGCACAATTTATCTCCTAACAGCCGCAGTCTGACCTTGAAGGGTAGGTGTTATCCCACTTGACAGATGGGAATTGCAAGGCTTAGCAGGCAGCCAGCGAGGGGCAGTCCAGAGACTTGTGCTCTGGTTGCCTGCTCTTTCCTGTCCACCAGTCAGCCTCCTGGGGTGCTAGGGGTGGGGGTGGGGTAGGAGTGTTCAGAAGGGATCTTCTCTGGGCTTTATTTTTGGCCCAGGGACCTCAGGGTGCTGTGGGTCTTTTGGAAACTGTTGTGAGTGATCCTCGGAGCTGGTGCTTTGCAGGATTCAATGATGAGCTGTGTGTATGTGTGTGTGTGTGTGTGTGTATGATTATTAAGAAACAAAGCAGAAGTGAAATACAGACAAGAACAGAGTGAGCAGTGTGTGATGACCGCAGGAAACATTCCCCCCGGCTTTAGCAATGGCTAACACGTCTGTTATCTTATGCCCTCCTTCCCTTCCCCTGACACAGGGTTCACTTTAAAGAGAATCCCTGTGTAATTTTATTTGTAAATACTTCAGTCTGTGTCTCTCAGGGATAAGGACTCTTTCTTTGTTGTTGTTTAGGTATAGCCACAATACCACTATCCTAATTTTAAACATTATCATAACCCTAGTGAACCTTTCTTATTCAGAACCACTCTCGGTACACAGCTCGCTCTGCAAGGGGTTAGAGGGCGGGGAGGGGAGGCAAAAACTTGTCCCGCTGGCCTCTGATTCCTGGGACTTGCTCCTTGGTAGTAGGTGGTGGGGAGGAAGAGGAGGCAGATCTGAAACTTGGGGCCAGAGATTGGCAACCTCTTTATTCTGCTTGTTCCCAGAGGGGCCTATTTATAGCCCTAAGTCTAGACACAGGAGGGAGGTGAGAAGACAGGAATGGGTGGGAGAGCAGGGAAGAAGGAGAGGAGAGGACTGGAGGAAAAGGGACGTCCTGAGAAGGAGCTCCCACATAGCTGGCGGATATGCACAGCCAGCTTTCACCCAAGGCAGCTGCGCGTTCAGGATCACCTTACAGGGAGGGCCCAGAGACCCAGGGCTGACGGGAGTAGATTCACACCAGGTGCATTTGGGGGGAGTCTGCTTATTCCTGGTGTCACTCCCAGCATCTCATTACATGCAGGGCTGGTGTTCATCTGGGGCTCTTGTTGTGGCTGTTAGAATACCGACAAACCCCCATGTCTTTGGCACACATCTCTCTCCCGAGCTCCCCCAGTACCCTGGCCACCCAGCTGCTGCTCCAGGACCTCTGGGCCTCAGGAGGACCCAGCTGCTAATGTGTTCATGCCCGGCACAGCTGGAAGTTCTGGGTTGTGGTGCACAGGGCGGCCTGCTAGGGATATGTGTGTGGTGATGTGTGAGTTATGTACCTCTTATTCCTCTATGTGTGTGTGTGTGTGCATCAAAGACATGTGTGTAGATGTCCATGTGCACATGCATGTGTGTGCATACCCAAAGAATAATATGGGGAAGGCCTGGTCCCTGCTGCGGCGTTAGCTGGCTGCGGCATGTCAGTGTGTCCCCAGAGTGGGTGCTGGGTCTCCCGACTGGAAAAGCCCAAGCTTTGGCAGCTGAGCTCTGCTCATGGGGCTCTGTTCTTCCCCCTCAGTCCCTCTATACTGGTTTCTCCTTCTGAGCTGCCAGGAGCAGGGTGCTGGGCAGTTTCCAGAATGCTCGAGGTGTAGGCCACCTTGTCTGGCCCTCACAGGAGCTCACCAAGGACAGGAAGCAGTGGGTGCTAAGCTGGGTGGCCCTGGTTCCCCTGGGAGCACCAAGAGGAAGTCCCCCCTCCTACCCCTTGCCGGGAATGCTGGTAGGTAGGCGGGGCCATCAGCCGGCCCAGGATCACCACTGGAGAAAGCCAGCTTAGCGTCCATAGAACCATCAGATCCCAGCAAGCATGTGCCAGCCAGCCAGGGTCTAGCTGGGTGTGTAGGCTCTGAGGTTCAGCAGAGGCCAGTGTTTGAGCACAGGGGGATCCCTCTGAGGTGGTGCAGGGATCAGCTAACTGTGGGTGCCACCATCAAATGAGGCCCAGCCCAGAGGCTGTGACCTGGTCAGGTGCCATTCCAGGCAGGTCGACACAGATGTACATGGGCCCCCAGTGCAGGGTCCGGAGGTCTGGCCAGGCTAACAGGCTGTGAACAAGAATAGCTGGCACTGGTACTGCCCTAAGACTCCATGCCAGACACTGCCTGACAGTGCTTGGAATCTCTGTGATGTCACTATTAATCAGACAAAGAGGCCAGTGCACCCAGATGCTGATCAGCTTGCCCAGGGTCGCATGGAGGGAAAATGACAGTCAGGGTGAGCTTGGGCCACCCACTGCACCACTCTGCAGTGAGGGGACAGGACCTGCACAGTGCTTCTCTGGACCCCACACTTAGAGCTGTTGCCCTCCCCCCCCCCCCCCCCTTTGTCCCTCTGCTGCTGGGCAGAACTCCCCTGTGAACCATGTCTCTGGTCTTTTGTTGGCTCAGGTCTTAGGCACCATGAATGGGAGAGAGGGGCTGAACTTCAGCTCCATGCTCTTGGTACTGCATCCCTTAGGGTCATGTAGAACCTTCTTGGGGATCCACTGCATGTCTGTTTTTGCTCTTTATTTCTCTTCTCTTTCTTCTAAAGATTTATTTATCTATTTGAAAGGCAGAGTGATAGAGAGATACAGAGACAGAGACCTTCCATCCACTGGTTTACTCTCCAAATGGCTGCAATGTCCAGGGCTGGGCCAGGCTGAAGCCAGGAGCCTGGAACTTCATCCAGCTCTTCCACGTGGGTGCAGGGGCCCAAGCGCTTGGGCCATCATCCACTGCTTTCCCAGGTGCATTAGCAAGAAACTGGATCGGAGGTGGAGTAGCCTGGACTTGAAACTGTACTTCCATATGGGATGCCGGAGTTGTAAGCAGTGACAACCTTTTCTCTCTCAAGAAAGCATTAGGTCTCTCCCTGGGTCCTGCACAGCCGCAGTCGGTGAGCTGGCACTAACCCCGGCTGTCTCTCTGACCTCTTTGCAGAACTCTGGAGATCAGCAGTGGCAAAGATGAGATCTCCCTGTTGGTGGAGCAGGAGTTCCTCAGCCTCACCAAAGAGCACCTCATCCTGGTCAAAGAGAACTCGGGGAAACCAGAGGCCCCAGGTAGCTCCCCTGAGGAGGCCAGGGACCAGCCAGCTCCCTGCACATCTGCACCTCCTCCAGTGGCAGGTGGCTCTGAGCAGCCAGGAGTCTCTGTCACTGCTGGAGATGAGCTTCTGGAGCAGAAGGTGGCCGGGTCTGCCATCGGCAGCCGACAGGACTGCGATTCTGCTGTGTCTACGGTCACCGGCATCCTGCGTGCCGCCAAGGGCAAGAGTGCCACGGGCATGGAGAACGGGGGCCACAGCCCAGGCGCCTGCAACTCAGAAATCAGCAAGCTGCTGGCCCAGTTCCCGCTGAAGTCCACGGAGACGTCCAAGGCCCCCGACAACAAGATGGTCCTGGAGGAGACCAGGGTCATCAAGGACTTCCTGCAGAACAGCATGTTCAGCAGCTCTGGACCCAGTGAGCCCCCGGGGCTGGGTCCCTTCCTGCTGCTGCCACCTGCACCTCCTCTCACAGCCCCCGGCAAGCTCCCCGAGCTCCCTGCTCAGAAGAGGCAGCTCCCTGTGTTTGCAAAGATCTGCTCCAAGCCTGAGCCTGACTCCGAAGGGCACCCTTTGCTGCAGGGTGAGTGGGGCTGGGGCTCTGTGCAGTGGCAGGAGGGGGCCTGCATGGAGGAAAGAGAGCTTTTCTGGGGAGCCAGTTGTTACTACAGCACGCACAAGAAGCCTCCTTGTGCAAAACAGGGCAAAGCAGCCTCTGGTGAGCACAGCCTCCAGGGGCAGCCCTGCCCTGCTGATGCCCCTGGGCAGAGCACAGCATGTGCAAGCAAACCCAGAGGCCCTAGTCCCAGCATGCTTTAAGAAAAGAGATAGGTTCCAGGAGTAACTGGCCCATGTTTTTAGTTTTATTTCTAAAATTTCATTTTCTTTGTATTCAGAAGAAAGAAAGAGAGCTTCCAGTTGCTGGTCCCCTCTCCCAAATGCCCACAACACCTGGGGCTGGGCAAGGCTGAAGCCAGGAGCCTGGAACTCAGTGTGGGTGTCCCACATGAGTGACAGGGACCGTAGTGCCTGTGTCATCCCCTGCTCCCTCCCAGGGTGGGCATTAGGAGAAGCTGGATCACAAGTGGAGGAGCCAGGAGTCCAGTGCTAGAACTCCAGATGGGATTGGGCTTCCCAAGTGCTGTCCTAATAGCCTGCCGCTGGTGCCATGTATCAACACCTGCAGGAATCCAGGCACATGGAAGGAAGTGCTTAGGAAGGAGTTTGACTGGCAGCTTCAGGGATGTGGCTTCCAAAGGAGGTGCCTCTTCTGGCCACAAGGCCTGATCCTCCTTGGGCAGTGAGCAGATGTGCACATTTCCCCAGGGGACAGTTGAGGCTGTTGGCCCTGGGTTTGTTCCCTGGGCTCTAGGGGTTCACAAAAGAGCACTCCCATTAGCTAATGGGGGATTTCCTTTCCAAGGAAACCCAGCCACCTCCTAAATTACCCCCACCTCCTCTCCAGTGATTTGGCCTTTTTTTCCCCCTGATCTAGCCGCTCAGACCGATTGCAGTGGCATTTATGCACAGTCAGCAGTCACTTGGAGAGCAGGTCATACTCATGTCACCCAGAGGGGAAAAGGACCCCAGGCTGTGAGGAACAGGGGTGGACCACTGCGGGTGGGGGGTATCAAGAGGGCCTGAACCCATCTCCCTGAGAAAACAGGAGCAAGGTCCCCCATGAGAACACTGTGTGTTGTGTGGCATTGTGGACAGGCCAGGGAATCGAGCTGTGGCCAGAGAGCTAGAATCTGGGTGTTGGACAGGTTGGAGCAGCCCAAGGGCTTTGGGACCATGGAATGGGGTTGTGAGAGGATTGAGTCCCGCCCAGGAAACCTCCCTGTTAGATAGGGGTGCTAAGCCCCAATCACTGGTCCCACTGTGTGTGTGTGTGTGTGTGTGTGTGTACAGATGCATGAGCCAAGAGGTTCTAAAGGGAGCTTTGCAGATATGAATGTGTGTGTGTGTCAGAGAAAATGCAGCTGTGGTGCAGTTGAGTGAGTCTCTGTACATTCTTGTGCATGTGTGGCAGGTGTGTGCTTGCACACGTGTCAGTGCAGACAAAGGAATGGCAGGCAGGAAAGTGTGGGCCCAGCTCTTGGAGGAAGGAGCTCTGTAGATGTTTCAGGCAACTGTAGGTGTGCGCGCGAGGCTGCAGGTACTGAGGTCTCTGGGGAGAGGGATATTATTAGTGAGTGCTGGTATTTCCGCACGCTGGCTGGGGGCTAAACTCAGCAACCAGATGAACTCTTGGAAGAGACTCTAGGGATGTGTTTTTGCTAAAAATGTTGCTTTCTCCTAAATCGGCTCAGGCTAGCACAGCTCTTTCCTGTGCTAGGATGGTGTTAGGAGGGCAGGCCTAGTCCCATCGTAGCCACTGAGCCTGCAGTGCTGGGGTCAAAGAGCTGGGAGGATGGGGTACACTCCTAATGGGCAGATGAGGCACAGGTCTTCAGATGGGGCCACTCCCAGAGGGAGCCCAGAGGCCTGTATTATGTCCAGCATGGGGGCAGTCATCCAGCAGGTGACCGGGTCTCCTAGCCAAGCTCCAGGGAGAAGTTTTGAGATCCCAGGCCCAGAAGAGGAGTGGATGGGGCCGGGCGGGTGCACAAAGCTCTCTTCCCTCCTTCAACCAGGACAATGCCTTAAAAAAAGGAAAGGAACAAACCAACTGTGTGTATGGAGTTCTTTCTGCCAATAGATTTCCTCCCCATGCTTAATCACAAGCAAGAGTCCCTTAACAAGTTCCTGGAAAAGTGGAGTTAAAACATATGCTTGTTTTGGTGGGGAAAAAAAATGGAAACCCATGCATTTGTTGTTGGTAATACACCTTTTCCAGGAAAATTTTGGCACTCAGGTGAGTGAGAGCCACTGCTGTGGAGGACCCCATGGTGGTGCAGACACTGTCCTTGTTCTGGGGTGACTGCCGGGCCAAAGTTGGCAATGGCTGGGCCCCCACCCCACATCCCAGCCGTCTCTGTTGAATCCCCACAGCTCTGAGCTTGCAGCCTCTGGCCCAGTTCCCACGCCTGTCTTGCCTTCCTCCCAGACATCCCAGCATGTCTTGCCTTGCTGAAACCCCACCTCGTTTTGGAACACAAAGCCCCATTCAGACAGAGAGCAGTCTCAGCCATCTTCTTCTCCCATTGTGTCCCCTGTCACCTCCTGGGTCCCACCTGCCTTGTCCCAGAGCTATTTCTGAGCATGTCTCTCTCGCCTTCCATGTGATGAGCTACTGCAGGGCAGAATGGCTCTGACTCATCACTGTGTCCCCAGTGCTCAGGGCAGGGTCTGGAGCTGACAAGCCAGCTGAATCACCTGTGAGCCACAGACAGAAGTAGAGGCGTGATATGGTGCCAAACTGTGGGGTCCAGGCTGTGTTCCGTGGAAATGCGAGACCACCCTTAGCTCTCAGTTGCACGCTCCTTCAAGGAAGACTGTGTCCAAGTCATCTTCCTGGCACTATGGATGGCTGGAAGGAAGAAAGGAGGGAGTTAGGAGAGAAGAAAAGAAGGGAAGGAAGTCGAAATGTGGAAGGAAGGAAAGGAAGAGGGAGAGAGGAGCAGAGAAAAGAAAAGTAGTTGAAGAAAGGAATAATGTAAGGAAGGATGAGTGAATGGGTGAAAGGGGAAAGGGAAACTAACAATGGATGGGTAGAAGGGTGGATGGATGGATGGATACATGGGTGGTTGGGTGGATGGAGAGACACATGGGTGGATGGGTAAATGGATACATGGGTGGATGGAGAGACACATGTGTGGATGGATGTGTCTATAGATGGATGGGCGGATGGAGAGACACATGGGTGGATGGATGTGTCTATAGATGGATGGGTGGAGAGACACATGGGTGGATGTATGAATGGATGTGTGGGTGAATGGGTGGGTAGATGGATGAATGGATGGGTGGATGGCTGAGTGATGGATGTGTGCATGGAAGCATATATGGGTGGATGGGTGTGTGAGTTAATGGATGCATGAGTAGATGGATGGAGGGAGAGAAAGAAGGAAGGATGGGTGCATAAATAGGTAGATGCTTGAGGCAGGAAGACTAGACTGGACAGTGGTCAGGGGAGTGCCGAGGGACAGACTGGGGCTGTATGTATCTGAGAGTGTCCTCTTGAGTGGTCTGGGCCTCAGATGTGTGCTGTGGAGGATCCATCATGCAGCCACAGGATGGTGCCTTCCCTGACTCTGACTTAATTTCCCTCCTACTGTAGAACAAAACCCTAGCAACAAAGACTCAACCAAGTGTCAAGACAGCCTCTTTGTTAGCCAGTGGCCCCAGAGTCGGAAGGATACCTGTGGTGAGGAGGGTTGCAACGACCCAGTGGGCACCCCGTCCATGGCCCTGCCGCCCAAGAAGCCTGCATGGCCAGCCGAGAAGAATCTGCTGTATGAGTTCCTCGGAGCCACCAAAAACCCAAGTGGGCAGTTGAAGCTTCGCAACAAAGTGGATGTGGATGGGCTGGAGCTGAAATGTAAGCTGGCCTACGGTGGGGCTGCAGAGGAAGGAAGGGATTCCAGACACCCTGCTTAGGCTCTGGAGAGTGGTTGGGTCACCAAGAGGCTATGCTATCCATGGGCAAGTCACTGCTCTTCATATCCTTATCAGAAACGTGACCACTAGCAGGAGTGGGAACCTGTTTACTGCCAAGAGCCATTTCGATATGTATAACATCATTTGTGGGCCATAAAAAGTATCAACTTAAAAACTAACCTGTTGTAGATTTGTTGAATGTTGAGTTCCGACTGTGGTTGCCTTGGCAGAGCCAGATCTTATACAGCCCCTGGGCTGCCTGTTCCCTACCCCAGCGACCAGATGACTATAGTTGGCTTTCAGGGGTCACATGAACATTAGTAGTGATGAATTTTAAATATAGCCCCAACTCAACATAGACCATACACTCTCAAATTGCCCAAGATGAAAAAAACCCATGCTTTATATTATTTCTATGTAATCAGATTATTCATATCTCTCCTTCTTCCTAGCCTTTGTCCAACTATTTCAGTCAAATTTCCCTTCCCAAAAGTGATGCCAAGACTGGGGAAACCAAAGATCCTTTTCTGATCCGATCAGCCTGCAGAATAGCTTTTAGAGAGGGAGAATTCTGGATTCACATCCTGAAACAACTCAACCTTATCCCATTCATCTAGACTGACTTTGAGTCACTCTGCCCTAAATTAGTGTCTTAAAATATTTTAAAAATTATTCCCCTATGGATAACAATGTGTGCAAGATTCTCAGTTTTACAAAGTATATGTCCCATGGAGGGGCTGCTTTCATGATGCGATAAGAATGAATTCCAATGGCGTAGCAGTTGTTTATAAAATGCTGGCTTTTTCTGAAGCTTTTGAAAGGATTTGGTTTTGTAAGTGAAACATAGCTCTAGAAATGACATCCATTTTATTCCCTTGCTAAACTTTCTCCTTCACTAATGAATGATGGAAACTCCAATCTAGACCTTCCGGGATTTCTCTCTCTTCCAAATGCGTAAGGCATGACCCAGGGGAGTCTTCCTAGAGTTGGAAACTCAGCAGGGCTTTGAAGAGCCCTCTCCAGGCTTCACAGGCCTGGCCCTGGGGCCGTCCTGGTGCTGCAGGCCTCTGCCTCCACCACTGACATGCTCTCCCCTTCCTGTGACTTACAGTGAACCCACCTGTCACGGCTGCCGACAAGAACAACATCAAGTACACAGGGAACGTTTTCAACCCACGCTTCGCCACAGCCTTGACCTCAGCCACCCTGAACCAGCCACTCTGGCTCAACCTGAACTACCCACCTCCACCAGTGTTCCCCAATCACTCTACCTTCTCACAGTACCAGGTGAGTGGGCAGGCCGTGACACTCACTGTGGCCATCCACAGTGGCTCTGGCCATGCCAGGGGCGGGGGAGTGGGTGGGTAGGGCTTGCTGGGACCCTGTTTCACAAAGAGCCCTTGGACTTCCCTTAAAGGCCATCCCTCCAATCGTGAGACTCCATGGGGTCTACAGCAGGGCACTATCAACTTGTCAACTTATTAGTTATATTTGCTTTTTATGGCTGCATCAGACCTACCGCTTGGTAAACACACACACACGCACACGCACACACACATACACACAGAGTTCTTTTCCACTGCCTGGAATCTGCTTCACTGTGCCATTTGTTCCAGAGGTGCTTTGCTGGTCGTGGCTGGGTAAGTGCTTGGGTCCCCAGGGTAAGATGGTGTCATAGTCCTGTCCATCAGCTTCTGTGACTTTCTTTAAAGTTAGGTAAGGGGCAGCCTGGATTATTTGGGACAGTCTGGGTCTTTGGCCAGAGAATAGTGATTAAAGCCATCCCCTTTCACTCTCACATGCTCTGGTTTGGATGACAAACTATTTGACCACATGCAAGCTGTCTGAACTTTGTACCAGCTGAGGTGGCTTGGCACACACTCTCGATCTTGGGCTCATAGCAAGAAGAGAATTAGTGGCCAGACACACAGAGGTGGTGAAACACTTGTAGCAGCATTGGAAATTCTACTCACAGAACTCATTTATGCAGGGAAAATGTAGTTTCTTTATTTTGTCCATTTAACTTAATATCCCTTAAGAGCTGCCGCCCACTTGGTAGAAGGAGGGAAAAATCAAATAAACGTCCACTCTGGTTTCAACCTTTGTCCAATCCAATAACTTAAGCAGTCCCTTTAGGTAGTGCTCCGTGTTTTTTTTTTTCAGGAAAGCTGCTCAGCATCTAAGATTTCTCAACCTTCTGTCCCATCCCCCTTCCCCAGCCTGGCTGCTTGCCCAATGCATCCAGGACCTTAGTTTGTATGTCCACGGTCCATGACCTTGGCCATCTGCAGCCCCAGTCTGGTCCGGCAAAGCCTGGAAAGGGCAAGGGGAGAAGGAAATACACCTGCAGCTGCCTGCCTTCCTCTGGGTCCCATCTGAACCCCTCCCCGAGCCCAGTGTCATTTCCTCCTCCTCTGTCACAGAGCAGATGAGCCTATGGCTTCCATGTGCTAGGCAGAAGGGGACCGTCTACTCCATCATGATGCTCGGAGCTGGTCTACCAGGCTTAGCCATGGAATATTCAAGAATTTAGCAAAGCCTCTCTCTCTCTCTCTCTCTCTCTCTATCTCTATCTCTATCTCTATCTCTCTCCTTCTCTTCCCTCCCTTCCAAGCCTTTCATTTATTTGTTTGCTGAAGGAAACAAGTGCCCACTTTTGCCCTTGGGAAAAGCCTCAGGCCCACCATGGGAAGGAGAGGTTGTAGATAAAAGCAATCTCAGGGGAAACTAAGTATCCGTTTCATGTTGCTAATGCAGTCTGCCCACATAGGTCTGGGGACTAAATAGCACTCGGGTTCCGGTCCTTAGTGCAGCGACTCCTTCACTCTTGCCACTTCTCCCCTTGCATCCTGGGGCTTGTTCACTCCCTGGTCACTCACTCCCCTACTCCCTGACCTGCTCATTCCTCTTTCTTCATTTCCTCATTCATTTCACTGATTTTGAAAGCCTTCCTTCCACAGTCCCTATGGGCCGGCTGTGGGGCTAGGGGAGAGGATGCAGAGAGGGCTATGAGGCTCAGAGTCTAACCCAAGTTTGGGGCTCCACCGCAGAGCAGCCGGGCCCCTCTGCTTCCACTAGACAGACAATCCCATAATTTTATTTAGTGTAAACGAATTCGCTCTAAAATGCACTCCCAGAGCTCACCACGTAAAGCTAATTTGCCACGGTTTGCTTTATTAAGTGGGGTAGTGTCTCTTTGTTATGTTAATTTCATTGCACTTGACTTTTTGAGTGCCTGAGATTTCCTCTGTCTTCAGAGATACTGGCGTTCATAGGGCAGGGCCAGTTCCCCTGAGGTTCCCCCACTTCTGGGCAAGGTGGTGGAAGGGCCTGCTGGGGCTGAGCAGGCCCAGCTGAAGTCATGGGAGAAGGAGGTGACCCTTCCAGGAGGGAACAAAAGGCAGCATCATTTACCTCCTCCCAGCTTCTCACGGTCTCGTCATGCTTATCTAGCTGCGAGACAGCTGCTCAGGGCCTGAAATAATAGCAAGAAGGCAGGTTTGGAAATCAGTAACCTTGAGATTCAAGGTTCTGCTGCATCTAAGCTCTGTGGCCTTGGACAAGCTGGTTGGCCACTCTGAGTCCGGGTTTCCCTGCTTGTGAAATGGGTTCATCATCATCATCATCACGGCAGTAACAGCAGCACCAGCACAGCACGGATATGGGTGCACGGAGTCCTGGAGTCCGTGGCTGGCGAAGGGCGCTGCAAATCTCACGTGTGATGCAGATGTTGGCTTTTATTATTATGCAGCCCTGGTCGTCCGAGGGAATGGGGTCAGGAGCTCTGCAGGCCCTGAGAGGACAGAGAGGGGAAATGGGGACTGGCTTATCCTGGTCTCTCCCCTGCTTGGCACTGGGAGTAGACATGAGGTCCCAGATCCAATTTACCCAGAGCTCGGCAGTGGAGGGACTCGGAGGCATGGGAGACAGGGTCCCCGACCCCGAGCAGCTTCAGAGGTTCCTGGGCCACTTGGCATAAAGGAACTCTGCTCCCAATTAAGGAGGGGGGAGGTGGATGGGGAAAGGCCTTGACCTCAAGCAAAGAAGGAGTGTTTATTTACCCTCACTTGTGATTTTACGAAATTGCAATTCTAACAACCAGTGATGTCCTTAAAGTCACATGGCCTGGCTTGTACTGATGAATGTGGCGCCATCTCCTCAAACCCCGCCCCAGGGTGGAACCAAGCCAGGGCAGCTGCATGGATCCCAAGGTGGCCTAGTGCGGGCAGGGTGGGGATGGTGGAGGCCTGCTGTTCGCATCCTCGGGTCTGAAGAAGTTGGTGGTGTTAACTCCTGCCGAGGCTGAAAGGGGAAGGGGGTGGGGAATGGAGGAGGTGCATTTAATAAACAGCTTAGTGGCCCTGGAGCTCCCTGAGGGCTGGCCATGGGCAAGGCTGCCCTGCTTCTCTGACTTTTCTGTCCAAGATCAGGCCAAGGCTGTGTTTGCAGGGAGCACATTGTGGTCAGAATGGTGAGTCAGGCTGCCTTGGGCTACAGGGCTGGGAGCTGGTGTCAGGTGGAAGTGGGAGGTGCCTGGGTGTAGGATGCCCTGAGGCCCCATGCTTGGGAACAGAGAGCAGGGAGGAGCACTTGGGAGATGTGCACTCCTAGGGGCCTGGAAAGTGGGGCAGCAGGATTTCTGGGAGATTTTCCCATACCTCAGGGTTCCAGAGCCTTTTACGAGGAGCTTGTGGGCTGTGAGGACATCAAGAGCATGGCGTTAGCCGTTAACACTTTGAGAATTGGCACAAGCTATGCCCAGAGTGGAGGCCGGTTTGGGGCCTCTGGGCTGACGTCCTTGGCTGAGAGGAGCTTTGGCTTTGACATTTGACCTTTACCTAGGGGGTAGCTCTGGATTGGCAGCTGGGGGCATAGTCAGAGGCTGGAGGGGCCCCTGCATGTGTGTGTGTGTATGTGTGTGTGTGTGTGTGTGATGTGTCTCTGCGTGGACACATGGACACCCCCAGTGTGGCCCCACAGAGAGTTGTGGACAACATTTCCATTCTCCATTTGGCTGAGTTGCCAGAGAGCCATTGCAAAGGGGGAGGCGTGAGAGATGAGCCGCAGCCCTGGCCACTGCAGACTCTGAACATGTGCCGGACACCAGTGAACGCTTTAGATAATTAACTCACTCATCCTCATACCAACACTCGTGTTCCGCTGAGAGACACAGGCGCGTGCGTGTGCAGCAGACATTCAAACTCACATATCTGGATTCCCAGTAGCACACGGGTACATAGCCCATGGATGCCGATGCAAACACACGTGCAGATGTACTCAAGTATACATGGGTGCAAACCCCCCAACACACACAGATACTTCAAGTTCAAGGGCAGGACTGGGGTTCAGGGAAAGACCTTTGGAAAAGATGTGTGGACAGTGACAAAGACAGCACAGTTTCCCTCACAAGCTTTGCAGGCGTGAGCACACATTCAGGGGGAGCCCAGAGAGCTGGAGTCCCTGTCCCAAGGCCACAGGGCCAGTGAGGGGCAGATCTAGGATTCAAGCAGCAGTCAGATTCTTGGAGCTTTCATCTTAAACGCTCACCAAAAAGACTGTGAAGTCTGCTAACCATGGGCTTCCCGGGAGGCATGCATTCTGCTTGCCCTGGCCTGCTCCCACGCGGCCCAAGCTCGGCCCTGCCTGGAGACCCAGGCGTGGGAGCCTCAGGCTGAGCTGAGCGGCTGCTGCTGCAGCTGCTGGGAGGCCTTGTCCAGCAACGCCCACCCTCTTCCTCTCTCCACAGGGCCTGTACCCGCAGCGGGCTGCGAGGATGCCGTACCAGCAGGCTGTGCACCCCCAGCTGGGCTGTTACTCCCGGCCGGTGAGTAGCCCACCCACCCCTCGCCCCCGCCCCAACTCCACCGAGGTCTCTGGGTCTGAGGCCATCAGCTCCTGTGGTGCTGCCCTGCTGGTGACCTGCTATGCTTTCTGGCTTGCTGTTGTCTCCGGGGGACACACACACATCCCGATAAGAGGGTAGAAACAAACCAGTGTCCCCATGCGACAATAGCCACTGGCACTTAGCGGAGCCCTGCCTGGGTGCCAGGGCCTTCTCTGAGGGTCACCTGCACTAACCTAACCTTTTTTTTTTTTAAAAAAATTTTATTTATTTATTTATTTAAGTGGTGGAGTTACAGACAGTGAGAGGGAGAGACAGAGAGAAAGATCTTCCTTTCGTCAGTTCACTCCCCAAACGGCTGCAACAGCTGGAGCTGTGCCGATCTGAAGCCAGGAGCCAGGAACTTCTTCCAGGTCTCCCATGTAGATGCAGGGGCCCAAGTGCTTCTACTGCTTTCCCATGCCATAGCAGAGAGCTGGATTGGAAGAGGAGCAGCCGGGACTAGAACCGGTGCCCATGTGGGATGCTGGCACTGCAGGCAGAGGATTAACCTTCTGAGCCACAGCGCCAGCCCCTAACCTAACCTTTGTAACCACCTGACATGAGTCAGGTGACAAGTTAGGAAACTGAGGCCTGGGAAATACTTAGGCTAAAAAATAACCGTTATTTATCTGAAATTCCAATTTAACTAAGTGGCGTCTTTCTAGATTTATTTATTTGTTTGAAAGGCAGAGTTACAGAGAGAGAGAGAGAAGGAGAGAAAGAGAAATCTTCTATCTTCTGGTTCTTTCTCCAAATGGCCACAAAGGCCAAGGCTGGGCCAGGCTGAAGCCAGGAGTCAGTCGCTTCATCCAGGTCTCCCATGTGGGTGCAGGGGCCCAGGCACCTAGGCCATCCTCCGCTGCTTTCCCAGATGCATTAGCAGGGAGCTGGATAGGGAAATGGAGCAGTCAGGGCTCGAACTGGTGCCACAGGATACTGGCATTGCAGCTGGTGGCTTTACCCACTATACCAGGATGCCGACCCCACACTTCTGTATTTTTACTTGCTGAGTTACTTCTTCTTCTTTTTCTTCTTCTTCTTCTTCTTTTTTTTTTTTTTTTTGGACAGGCAGAGTTAGACAGTGAGAGAGAGAGAGACAGAGAGAAAGGTCTTCCTTCTGTTCGTTCACCCCCCAAATGGCCATTACGGCCAGTGTGCTGCGCTGATCCAAAGCCAGGAGCCAGGTGCTTCCTCCTGGTCCCCCATGCGAGTGCAGGGCCCAAGCACTTGGGCCATCCTACACTGTACTCCCGGGCCACAGCAGAGAGCTGGACTGGAAGAGGAGCAACCGGGAAAGAACTGGTACCCCAACTGGGACACGAACCCGGAGTACCGGCGCCGCAGGCAGAGAATTAGCCTAGTGAGCCACGGCGCCAGCCTGCTAAGTTACTTCTATAGCGTGGTTGGGGATGACTCTTTGCTGAACAGCAACACAAAGGCAAAGTGGCAGAGCTGGGTTCTGGCCTTGGGTGGCCTGGCACTCTCAACCCATGCTTTATTGCCTCTGGGACATGGAGACACAAAAGTGCAAAATGCAGGATAAAAATAAAGCTGAGGAGACAGAAACACACACACACACAGAGGTGGATAGAAATATGGGTACAGTTAGCCACCAAGCGGCCCAAGCACACAGCCACGCCCAGCCACGAATGGGCCTAGAAGCCTGGGCAGAGGCATCGAGTCTCAGGGCACAGCTGGGGGGTGAGGAAAGGAGCTAGAAACAGGAGCACAGAGGCACCAGAGACTGAGTTGCCTCACTCCCAGGATGGCTGTGCATGGCCCCCAACAGGTGTGCACCCCGGTGCCCCAACCCATAGACAGCACTGGGAGCCCCAACTCTCCTCCGCCAACATCACTCCGATCTGAAACATATCAGAACGTCCCGGAGGCAGAGGAAGAACGCAAGAGTGAAGGTTACTCGATTGTGTGGGCCAGGTCTGAGCCCCTTGCACCCTGAGATGAAGCATCTGGCTCATGGGGCTTGGTCACGTCCCCTCCACCAGGCAACCAGTGGTAGGGTCCTGGCCCAGAGGGTCATGTGTGTGTGTTTGAGGAAGGTATGGTAAGAAACAAGTTTAAAAACTTAAAGGCAGTCACTGTTTCCTGGTTTCTTACGTACCCTTCTAATGATATCTGTTGGGATGGGAAGTGCTTTTCTGCTAAAGGTCACGTGGAGATTTATAAAATAACCATCTACAGACTTTTTGAATTTTGAGTCCTGCCTGAGGTTGCCCTAGCAGGAGCAGACCAAATGATTTTGCAAGCCTTATGTACGGCCCGTGGGCTGGACGCTGTCCACCCTGGTTTATAGAAGCGTGTTGTTGTTGTTTTCATACAAACGTAGCACTCCAAGCATGCTGTTACGCTGCTTGTCAGGGAAGAGGAAATTTGGAGATGCTTTGAGCAGTATACTAAGCTCTATTTCATGGCTTTTATGAATTCCATAGACTCAAGGATATGTTTGCATTTCTTATGTGAGAGACAGGAAGAGTGAAAGAGCGACAGATAAAGAAAGCCCCCATCCATTGGCTCACTCCCCTGATGTCTGCAAAGACTGAGGCTAGACCAGGCTGAAGCCAGGAGCTGCAAACTCAATCCAGGTCTCCCATGTGGGTAGCAGAGACCCAGCTTCTTAAACTGTCCCCTGCTGCCTCCCAGCAGGAAGCTGGAATCCAGAGCCATAACCACATACTCAGATAGGAGACGCAGTGTCTTAACCGGCATCTTACCCACGGGTGAAGCGCCCACCCCCAACAGCAGGTTTTTGAACAGGGCTTGTATGAGCCCAAACACCTGCCTCTTGCATCCCAGCGCTTCCTCCCACTATGTGTGCCTTGCTGCCTACAGGGCCCGGCTCTGGGAGCTGCCTTCCTGGTCTTCCCCACCAGCTAGTCTCATGCCTTTGGTTTCCTTGTGCAGTATCTCCAGGTCTTGCATCCCCACTGGGCGGCTGGTGGGAAGGACCTGAGGTGGGGCTCAGGCTCCCAGAAGGCACAATGGAGAGACGCTGAAGCAGGGGCACAGGCTCTTAGCACCCGCTTCTGGGGATTCTAACACAGTGCAGACCCTGGGAGCATAAGCGAGCCTCTCAACGTCTCTGAACCTCAGTTTTCTCATCTCTGAGATGGGAATAACAGGGCTGTGTGGAGTTCCACATAGGAAGGGCGGGGCATAGCAAGGCACTCAGACGCCGGCCTTGTGGGGGCTTTATCAGGTACAGCGAGCAGGGCCAGAGAGGGATGCAGAGTGCTGAATCGCTGAGCTCATGGCTTCCAGACACCGGCTACAAAGCAGAGATCCAGACACTTCTCTGGCTGCAAAGCAGGAATCCGGAAGCTCCCCACTTTCTCCCCTCTGCACACATGGGAGAGCAATCAGCTCTGTGCCAAAAACAGTTCCCTGATGTTTGGAGCTGTCGGTAGTGGAACATGGTGCTTGTGATGTAATGAGCTCCCCATCGTTTTAGGTATTCAAGCAGACGCTTAGTGGCGGTTCCCCGCCTCTTTGCTTCTTCCCCTTCCCCTCTCTTTCCTTCTGGCATTCATTCATGTAATGCATGCCTCTTTATTGCTGCATTCATTTAACACGTGCTTGTTGACAGTTGCTGTGAGTTAGCACTGGGGCCGTATCAGTGAACAAGACGAAAGGTCCCTGCCCTGTCTGGAGCAAGGAGGGAGCCCCGGCCCCAATGGGACTTTGTTCTGAGGACACCCCTCCCCAAAACCTGGCCCTGCTGTGTTTCTCTGGGGTTGGAGCTGAGCCTTGGAGCCCCTTTGCCCCATTGCACAGGGGGCTGTGCTGCTCACTAGCCATTCGCGGCTACGTGCATTTAAATTAATAAAGAGGAAGGAGCGTTGGAAATGCCGTTGGCTGTTCACAGAAGCTGTGTTCCGGGGTCGTGGGGCACTGGTGGCTGCCAAGGGGAGCAGTGCAGAGACCACTGCCCCCAGCACAGGAGCTCCCCCTGGGCTGTGGAACCCGTGGAGATCCCCGAGACAGAAGCTAGAGATTTGTCAATGACGACTGCTGCCTGGGGCTGATAAAACCTGTGACAGCAGACAGGGCGCTTTGGGAATGGTTACCCAGATGGTTACAAGTAGTGAGGCAGGCAAGAGAACAGAAAGAAGATGCACTTGCTTCCTATTATGGCCTATCTCTTCATAGCCACGGACTCCATCACCACTCCATGTACATAGCGTTTGCCCATTTTACAGATGTGGAAAGTGAGTCTCAGATAAATGAAGAAGACTGCCAGGCTCATGGTTGATCCCTGAGCTTTTTCCATTCCAAATGTTGCCTTCAGTGAAGAGAGACACAGGGGCCCTGGGGTAGTGGCTGGGCTCAGGGTTAGGCTGGGAGCAGTGACCTCACCCCTTTCTCCTCTCTGCCTCTCAGGTGACCCCGTACAACCCACAGCAGATGGGACAGCAGATTTTCCGCTCTTCCTACACCCCGCTGCTGAGCTACATCCCCTTCGTCCAGCCCAACTATCCATACTCGCAGAGGACACCTCCCAAGCTGTCCACCAATCCCCGAGACCCTTCCCCCATGGCGGGAGACGGGCCACAGTACCTCCTCCCCCAGGCATACGGGTGAGTCTGCAGCCACGGAGCTGCTGGAGGGGAGAGGGGAGGGCTGGGCCAGTGGGCTTCCCAGGCTGCGGTTGTGTCCTGGCCATGGGGAACGGAGGGTCCTGTGCCAGTGGCCAGTGGCTGTGTCAGTCCGAGAGAGAGCTGCAGTAGGAGTGAGCAGGGTCTGGTGGCTGGGGACCCCTCTGCTGGGTCTGTTCAGGGGCTGGAGTGCTCCAGGCTGGTGGCAGAATGGCAAAAGCAGTCAGGGGCCGATGGACGCCCCACTCAGTTGGCAGTGGCAAGTGGCAGAGCATGACATTGCGCTGCCTTCACCCGCTGCCTGGTTTCCGATGGGACCTGGCCGGGTAATCTTCTTATGGCTCTGTCCCCACGCACGGCACCCTGAGCTCCTCGCCAGGCTAATCTCCCCAACACCCCATTGCCTGTGCAGCGGGCCCTGTGGAAGGGCTTCCACCTGCTTATCAGAGCTGCTCACATCCTCCACCGAGGGACCCCAGTGAGCAGAGGAGAGGGACCGCTTCCTGGGATGGTCTGAGGGCTTAGCGGCCAGCAGCGGATGTAAAGGCAACACTTGGGCTGGAGAATTTCACCCAGATTTTGCATGCTGTGGAGTAATGAGATCATGTTTCTCTTAACAAGACAGTAAATGGCCTCTCCTTCCCACGCACCCAACCTTCAACGGATGCTTCAAGAGATAGGTGGTGCTGTGCCGCCCTGTGGATCTGAGGGTTGCAGCACTCTGGCCAATGTGCACCCCAGGTTGAGAAATTTGGTGAATAGGACAAGGGCCAAACTCCGCAACCTGACCTGGCTTCACGCCTGCCCCCTTCCCATCACAGCCCCTTCACATGGAGCCAACCCTGTGTCCCTGCACCAGGGTTTCCCCGAATACCTCCTTTAAAGTGCTCCATGCTGGAGGGAGGTGTCTGCAGTGACATCTGCATAGAGCAAGCCCAGAAACAAAGATAAACAGATCACTTAACTATTGGAATTCTCAGATCTTGTAATCCAGAGTGCACGGAGAATGCTCCAGAAGGCAGCCAATAGCCTTAGCTGAACATGCAACTGTAACCCCTTTGATGTCTTTCGGTCTCTCTTCTCTGCCTGCTCCCCACCCCTTGTGGAGCATATCCTCCAACACACCCTGGGGAGCGCTGTGCTGGTTCATGTGGTTACCGCAGATGACTGGGACTCCCTCCCTCTGTGAGCAGAAGGCAGATGAGTGTGGGCACAGCCATGTGAGTGCCCTGCAGGGTGGGACCCACCCAGTCCCAGTGAGCAGCGGCTGGAGGGGGTGCTGGACGGGGCACCCAGGCAGGAGCAGTGAGGCCCTTGGGTGGGAAGGTGAGCATCACGCTGGAGCGCCAGTGAGCGGGGGGTGTCTGCTTAGAGGATGAGGTTCGTCCCTGCACAGGCAGCAAAGCAGAAGTGGAAAAGCGAGGCTGGGGTTGGCTTGGTAAACACTCTAGACTGCTAGGCCTGGGGATCCAGTGAAGACTGGTGCCCAGGAGAGTGACCCAAGGGACTGGAATGGAGAGGAACAGGGAGCAGCGGAGAGTGGCCTGCAGGTGGTTGGAGGGGGTCTGGAGGTGAGCCTTTCGTCTTCTTGGAGGTATGAGAGTGGGTGCGGCTGCAGAGCGATCTGGGTACCTCTCTGCTTGCGGTGGGCGTCCTTGTGCTGTGCAGAGACAGAGACGCTGGAATCAGGGGACCCCGCTGTCAGGACTGGAGATGAGTGGCCTTGGGATGCAGGTGTGCCCACAGCCTCCCTGCTCAGCTGGCACACACTGACTGGGAGCTGTAGCAGCAGGGGTGAGACCTGGGCTCTGCACACCTGCAGGGAGGGGAGGAAGACAGGCAGGAGACCAAGGAGGCAGCAACATGAGAACAGGCGGGAGCCTGGTTAGAGCAGCACCCTCGAGGCAGAGGAGAGGGGAGTGCAGTTGTGGGGGACAGGCAGGACTGAGGAGACCAGGGCCAGAGGGTCAGGGCTGCAGGCTGGTGGCCCAGAGGGGAAGGTGGATTCATTCAAAGAATCCTGGGGTGGGCTTTACTCAGCATTTAAGGTACCAACTGAGAAGCCCACGTTCATGTTTGAGTTCCTGGGTTCAGTTCCCAGGTCCAATTCCGGACCCCAGCTTCTTGCTAATGCAGCCTCTGGGAGGCAGTAGAGACGGCTCAAGTACTTGAGGCCCTGCCCCGTCTCTGGCACTCTGGGCAAAGGGCTCAGACCTGGGGAGCATGTGGCTGAGGCACCGAGTGAGGGCCAGGGTGGGTGGAGGTGACCTTGGAGAGCTAGCCAGGGCTGGGCAGGTGAGGTGGGGCCTGGGAGGCCTAGGGAGGAGTTTTCTTTGATGAGCTGAACACAAGACACTGAGGTGTTGCAGCTGGTGAGGATGGGCTGTAATTTTCTGAAGGAAATAGATTGTGTTGGCCAAAGTAAGAAGAATGAACCCTGGAGGCAAGGGCTGGTGCAGGCAGCCAGGCAGGGACCTTTGGTGCTGTGTGAACAAGAGATGCTGGTGGCGTGGACAAGGGCGGTGGCCATGGGGGAGGCAGACATGTAGAAAGCCCGGGGTGCTCGTTTTCCTGGTAGAACTGATGGGACTTGACAATGCTTGGATGTGGAAGAAGAATCAGTTGACAAAAAGCACAATTCTGAGGGTTTTGACTTCTTGCAACTGGATGAGTGGCAATGCCCAAATACCAAGGCCAAGGCTCTGTGTCTCCAGAGCTGAGTGCTGCACACATGATATTTGAGATGCATGTTAGGTGAGTGGTGCTGTGGATAGGCTGGGGTTTGGAGCTCAGAGGAAGGGCAGGGCTGGAGACAAATCTGGGTGTCATGAGCACTCAGATGACAGTGAAAGGTGTGGGGGGTTGGGGGATGGGAGGCTCAGGACTGAGGTCTGGGACACCCCGCAGGTGGAGAGGCTGGGAAGGCACAAGGGAACAAAGGAGGCCTCAAGGACCGAGCTGCGTGGAGAGGAGAGGAGAGGAGAGGAGAGGAGAGGAGAGGAGAGGAGAGGAGAGGCGAGGCGAGGAAGGAGCTGGGCAGGTGCCGTGCTCTCAGGGGAGGAGGAGGAAGACAGCCCTTCCTTCCCTCTGCCATGTCCATGTGCATCCATGCAGCAGGGAGACAGAGCCACACAACTCACCTGCCAAGCAATAATAAGTCTGAGAGTTGAAAGGAGCACAAGGTGATATCAGCAGAGAGACCACACCTGGAGGACCGGCTGGTGTGCTCCCCACGCTCAGGCAGCTCAAACCCCTCCTCCCCTTCCTCCTCCATGAAGCACTCTTTGATCACTCGAGTCCCCAAGGATTGCTTCTCCTGATGGCCATCTAGAACACGTCCTGCCCAGTGGATCTGATCAGACATTCTCACCCCAGAGGTTCTAGATGTGTGGGTGTGGCAGGCAGATTCAAGGTGTGTCATGAGTGATTGGGTATTGAGAATTGTTAAATACTGAAGCATGGGTTGCAGCCTTAATGTGATTCATCAGAGTGGGATCCAGATTATCCTATAATGATATAATCACTTCCAATCACTCATATTCCAAGATGATTTTTGAAAGAAAAAGAAGCAGGGTTTCCACTGGTGTACATTGCTCGTTCGGCGCCCACCTGCTCCTGGTAAAACAGGGAGCAGCCATTTGGATTTCCTCTTTTGAAAAATGCCTTTTAAGACCTTTGCCCATTTAATAGCTGGGTAGTTTGTCTTGTTGTTGTTGAGTTTCTTGATCTCTTTATATATTCTGGTTATTAATCCTTTATCAGTTACAGAGTTTGCAAATAGTTTCTCCTGTTCTGTCAGTTGCTTCTTCACTTTCCTGAGTGTTGCTTTTGCAGCACAGAAGCTTCTCAATTTGATGTAATCCCATTTGTCAATTTTGGCTTTGAGTGCCCTGCCTCTGGGGTCTTTTCCAAGAACTCTTTGCCAATGCCAATGCTTTACAGGGTTTTCCCAATGTTCTCTAATAATTTGATGGTATCAGGTCATAGAGTCAGGTCTTTAATCCATTTTGAGTGGATTTTTGTGTAAGGTTTAAGGTAGGGGTCTTGCTTCATACTTCTGCATGTGGAAATCTAGTTTTCCCAGCACCATTTGTTGAAGAGATGGTCCTTACTCCAGGGATTGATTAAGTTTCTCAAAAAAAAGCTTAAAAATAAAAAAATATAAATTAAACCTCAGAAAGGCTTACTTTTACTGAATTAAAAAGTATTTTTTCCTTACTGTAAAAATAACCCTTATGGTGTTCTATTGCACAGTAGGGTGACAATAGTTAACAATAACATAGTGTATATTTCTAAAGAGCCAGAAGAAAGACTTTTAATGTTCACGCTACAAAGAAATCTTGAATATATAAAGTAACGGATGCTAATTATCCTAATTTGATCATTAAAATGTATGCATGTATTGAAATATTACATCGTACCCCATAAATACGTACAATTGTGTGTCAATAAAAACAAATAATAAAAAAATCCAAACATACAAACAAACAAAAGCAGGGAGCAGCCCGATGGTGTCCCAGCTCTCACTGCACTCGTGTTAGCGAGAAGGGGAGGACAGAAACCCCGGGGCCCTGCTGACCCGCTGAGGCCCACAGGGAGCATGGGGACCTTGGCCAGCTGAGGCGCCGCGGGTGGATGCAGTGCCTGCTGCCACAGTGGCTTCCTTCCCCTCCCCCCTCCTCGTTGTCCCGTTAAACTCCCAGGAAGATGAAGCTCCTCTGCCTGGCTGAAAAACAACTGAGAAACCCTGGATTAGATGAAATCCAGCCAGTTGCTCTGCTGTGATTTGTATGGAGCCCTGTTCCCATTCAGTCAATGTGCCCTAGCAGACGGATGAAGAAATTGCAATAAGATCCAGGAGGATAAACAAATCATCCCATCTGGAGAGGTCCAGGAAGGCTCCTCCGAGGAGGTGGCTTTTCAACTCTAAAGTGTGAAGAAGAGTACCAGAGAGAAAGAGCAGAAGTGTGTGCATTTGTGGCTTAGTGGGTGAAGCTCACACCATCCCAGCTCTTCCTTCCCTGGGGATCTAGCTGAGCTGCAGGCAATCCGTGATGTCTCAGGGCTTACTCCACGGACTGGTGTTGAAACAAAGGGTCTGAGATAGCCTGGTGCTGACGAAGGGGGAATGAGCCCTGCCACTCTCTGGATGCTGGATTCTCTGATGCCGTGAACTTTGCTGAGAAGCACACCTGGTCCTCCAAGGCAGGTAGAGTGGTCATAGGCATGCAGGTAACATAAGGTCACAGGTGTACAGGTAAGGTCAGGTGTGTAGTAAGGTCACAGGCAAACAGGTATGGTAAGGTCAGAGGTGTGCAGGTAAGGTGCTCAGATTCCGAGAAATTCCCTGCTCCACAGTCCTGTGGACATGGACATAATCCTCAAAGGCTTCCTGGACCTTCCTGATCCAAGTTAGTGGCAGAAGAAGCTCTTTATGGTCCTCTAATTGCACCATTTTAATATTTTATTTTCCCAGAGCCAGAGCTCTTTGATTATGCTAAAGCTTGCAGGCTCCAAGCCTGTCATGGTCGTTGCAGTCCTTGACAGCCACAAAATTAATATATTATTCTTTTCTAATCTCCCTGATGATATCGGGAATTTCATCCTGGCCTCCCTCCTTTCTTTCAGGTTTGGCTCAACGTCTGGTGGGCCCCTGATGAACAGCCCTTATTTCTCGTCCAGTGGAAATGGCATAAATTTTTAGCTCTCCTTCTTTTCCCCTCCTCCTCCCTTAGCCCTTGGATCAGGGCTAAGGGCTCTGGAATTCTGGATTCTGCAACAGCTTGGTACGAAGTTTGGAATGCCAAGGTTCTGACCAGGTGACAGACAGAAAACAGCAAGACCAGATCCATCGATGCACCAACACACATACACACACCACACACAGCCTCTCTGACACAGCACAGACCACACGCATGCACCCTTGTTCTCATACTCGCTTGTTCAACCACATGTGCTCCTGTATTTAGCTAACATGAGTGATTTTTGTTTTTGTTGTTGGTAAACATAGAGGTAAGATATTTAATTTTAGAAAGTTTGTATCTTATGATAAAAGTATGAGCTGTTTGACACGGTGTGTGCCTGTTTATTCTTGCTATGCTCTGTGTCATCTTTGCAGCTTGTTTGCCCCCTGGGACTTGAGGTTTACTCAGGATGTTAGAAGAGACCATGGGCCAGAGTCCTCAGAGAGCTGCTCTAAGCACAAGGGCCTGTCTTTTCTCCTGCAGTCTAGCCACTGCTCAATGTCCCAGCTTGCACATCTTAGGAGGGGACACTGGAAGGAATGCATCCTCCTCTGTTTTATCCCAAGTGGAAGTTTTGCAGAAAAAAAAATTCCTCTGGGACAGAGCATGGGAGGATGCGGTATAGAAACAGCTTCAAAACTGATCCCCAACGTGGTCGACTGTGTCCAATAAGATCACTCTCAGAGCTGCACCAGTGCCACTGTCCTGGGATCTAGCCTGTTCAACTTTTATCCATGGCTTGAATAAGGAGGGCATCCTCATCATATTTCTGGGGGACATGAATCTAGGAAGAAGGGAGAGCCTGAATCCATGACAGCAAACATCCTTCAATTCCACTCTACATTCATGGCAGGCATCACTAGTCGACAACAGCACTCTATTCCCCTGAGCCTAGACATGGCTACAGAGTCATTCTCTCTCTGGTGCCCCAGGCAGTCATCACTGATGGGAGTTACTCTGTGAAATGAAACCTATGTGCCACCCTCTGGAAAACTCCAACAAGAGGAGGTCAAGCAGGGGTTCATATGAGGGCACACTTTTCAGTCTTAAACAAAGCAAAACAAAAACCAATGAACTATCCACATACAGGCTAGATCAACGCAATCAGTTCTATTTTTTAAAGAGGTTTGTTTTATTTATTAGAAAGGCAGAGTTACAGAGAGGGAGATTGGAAGATTGGGAGATTGGGAGAGGGAGAGAGAGAGAGAGAGAGAGAGAGAGAGAGAATCTTACATCTATCATTTCATTCCCCAAATGGTCACAATGGCCTGAGCTGGGCCAAGCTGAAGCCAGGAGCCAGGAGTTTGTTCCAGGTCTCTTACATGGGTGCAGGAGCCTAAGCACTTGGGCCATCCTCCACTGCTTTCACAGGCACATTAGCAGGTAGCTGGATCTGAAGTAGAATAGGCAACTCAAACTGGAGCCCATATGGGATGCCAGTGTCATAGGCTGTGGCTTTACCAGCTACACCACAACGCCAGCCACCATGGTCAGTTCTAACCTGCTCCTTACCAACACTATTAGACACTTAGAACCAGAACCCCACCTGGATGAGGCCAGTGAAAGCTGGGTCTGGGGGAGCATGAGGAGCCCTGACTGCAGCAGTGAGAGGCGTGGGGCCTAGAATCAGCAGTGTGTCAGGAAGGGCAGAAGCCCAGTGCCCACAAGAGCCTTTCTCTTGCCCTCACTCTGGGAAACCTTTGGCCTCACTGACCTTTCCTTCTAGGTCCTTGGAAACCAATTTCTCTCTCGAGTGCCCTTAAGACTGACTGCCATCTCCCTTTCTCCATAGCCTGAGTCTGGGACTCCCCCTGAATTCTTCAGCTCCTCACCCCAGTGCCGGGCCCTGGTTCAGGGTTTATTTCTGCTCAGTGCATTGGGCTAATTGCCTAGATTCTCCATGGACTTTGAGAGACAATGGGCACCTAGAAGTCCTCACAAATGCAAGAATCCTTTGCTGCTTCCTCAAGCTGTACTTCTAGCTTTTGATCCAGGTTGCATTATAGTTGGACACTCTCCCTTAGTCTTAACATGTTTGAGGCAGCAGAGGATAACACAAAGAACCTAGGGGCTGGTGCTGTGGCATAGCGGGTAAAGCTGCCACTTGCAATGCTGACATCCCATGTGGACACTGGTTTGTATCCCAGTTACTCCACTTCTGATCCAGCTCCCTGCTAACATACCCAGGAAAAGCAGCAGAAGATGGTGCAAATGTTTGGCCCCTGTCACCTATATGGGAGACGCAAATGAAGCTCCTGGCTTCTGGCTTAGATCTGGCCCAGCACTGGCCATTGCAGTCATTTGGGGAGTAAACCAGTGGATAGGAGATCTCCATCTTTCTCTTGTCTCTTCCTTCTCTCTCTGTAACTCTTTCAAAATAAATAAATCTCTAAAAAAGAAGAAAGATCCTAGGTTTTTTCTTGGCCAAATCTGGTTCCTTGGCCATTTTCCAACTTGATGTTTGAAGAAGAAGCAAACTTCCCCCAACTTCAGGCTGTTAATGGCAGTGAGGATTAATGTAGGCGTATGGTCTTCCATACGCTGCATTCTCAGTGAAACTGGATGTCCTCAAAACCATCCTATAAACCAAGGCAGAGAATGCAGGGAGGAAAGGTCACTGCCTTCACGTAGAGGGGAAGATCACATTGAAATGCCTGCTGCAGGACATACAAACAAGAGAGTTGCTTTCTCCAAAGAGCCCTGAAAGTTTTAGGAACTTGAGGTGCAGGGCAGGTGCTGGACACCATGGAACCTGGGCTGGAGAGAAACGGAAACATGAGGTCGATGTAAGAATGAGCTCCTATTCCCAGCCCCACAAAGCCAAGGACCATGGACAGTTCAGTAGGAGCCAGGGGACTTTTTTTTTTTTCTTTTTTCTTTTTTTAGAGAATTTTATGGGCCATGTCTAAGGAGTGTGGAGAAGAGGGCCTAGCTAGCACAGAGGGTCTAAGTGAAGTGCACACACACACCCAATGCCAGCAGAGACTTTACCCAAGAGGGATGAGTTTGGAGGCTCCTCTGAAGAAAATGAATTGCCCCAAAGGCATTTTGAGATACCAATGAAAATTACTGCATAATTAATACCCTCCTTTAAAATTGTATTCATTTCTCTCTTTTCTTTTTCCTGGAAGGGAGAGAGTGTCTATTGGCTCACTCCCCCAAATACCCACAACCTCTAGGGCTTGGCAAGGCCCAAGCCAGGAGCTTGAAACTCCATAAGGGTCTCCCATGTAGGTGACAGGAGCTCAAGTCCTTGAGCCATCAGCTGCTGCCTTCCCAGATGTGCATTGGCAGGAAGCTGAATTGGAAGCAGAGGGAGCTGTGCTGCAAACCATGCACTCTGATACAGGATACAGGTGTCCAAAGTGATGACTTTAACCATTGCACTAAGTGCCTGCCCCTGATGAGTGCCCTCTTACAAGACTGCTGCTATGGTTTGGATGCTCCAGAAGGATTTATGTGCTGGAAGCTTGGTCCCCAATATGATAGGGTTGAGGCCATAAGACCTATTAGAGATGGGGCCCAGTGGAAGGTGACTAGGCTTTGGGGGCTCCCCCATCGTGGATGAAAAATGCTGTCTGCTGGAGTGGCTTGGGTCTCATGGTACAGGATTAGTTGCTGAGAGAGTGGGTTGCTGTCCAAGGGTGAGCTGGCTCCTCTCAGGTCTTCTGCGTCCTTGCTTGCACTTGGACCCCTTCTGCCTGCAGCCAGTTCCATTCCTGCTTCTTTACCAAGTTGGGACACAATCAGATGGTGGTGTCATGCTATCTGAACTTTCTATCCACCAGAATCATAAACTACATACACCTCTTTTGTTGACACATGACCCGCTGTTGGGTATTTCGCTATGGCAACAAGATGGACTAAGCTTCCAATCAACATTCCAGGGATGGATGCTTAATGTCACCTTTCTTATCTAGTGTTGATAATAACCCTACAAGATATATATGAATTTATTACCTATGCAGAAACTGAGGCTTGAAAGGATTAAGCTTCTTATTGAAGGTCGCGTGGTGAGTGACTCAAGCACACATTTTCATTCTCTTGACCTCCTGTTTCTGTCTCTAGTGACACAGCCCAGAGTGAATGAACTTTATTGAAATTTTATCTTATGGTTAATGGCTATTAAGTTTTCAGACAGCTAAGACTTATATGACATTTTCCAGTATTAAGCCACTGTCAAGAGAGTTGAGAAGCAGAGGCTGAGGCTGGGAGGGACAGCACTGGATCCTTCCGCAGGCAGAGAGGCAGGGTGGAAGTGCAGAAGTTGGTGCACGCGCAGCCTTTGTGCTCCTCCTCTGGGAACCTCAGGTCCTCCAGCATGGCTCCGCCCCCTGCGAGGGCATCTTCAGCTCTGTGCCACTGGCTCATGGGTATGGTAGGGGATGCCAGCAAGTACCAAATATGCAGTACCCCTTTTCTCCTTAGCAATAGAAACTGCTCTCACATCAACCCATGATGATGCAGAATGTGTCACTTAGTTCTGGTCAAACTGGCTGTAGGCAGAACTGTTATATGTGATTCTAAGTTTGATAGAGTGATGAGAAGGAGGAGCCAAGCCTTGCGGAGTGTGGAGGTGCCCAGACAAAGCCAGGACTGCCTGTCCCTGGGCTTTGTTTACATGAGTGGAAAGTGAACTTCTTTAAAATGCCATTGTTATTTCGGATTTTTTTATACATATCCAATCCTAATCCAAATTAACATATCCAAAAAAGAAAAGACCATTCTGTCAAGAAGGCTTTCTTCTTTCTAGTACTAGTTGTTCTTGAGATCAGGTAATATCATCCATCCATCCATCCATCCATCCACCCACCCACACATTTGTCTAGTCCTCCATTCATCCTTCTGTTTATTCATTCAATTACTTAATAGACATTAATTGAATGCCTCCCTTGCACCAGGCGTTGGCTAAGTGCTGAGTTACACAGATGGGCCATCAGATTCTCTGCCCTCACAGAGCTAATTAACAAGAAAGAAGAAAGACTTCTCAACAAGGAAGATTTTTCTTTCCACAACCATACTGCCCAGATGTTTACAAAAGGAGAAGGAGAGAATTGGCTTAATGGGGTCAGTCGCATAAATAAAGCATATTTACTGTTTGCTTCACTTCCCCAGGGGGGAAAAGGTCCCAGACAGGGCTAAAAGTGGCCTGTGTATATATTTCCAGGATTGTATCTGTCTGTCAAATGAATAGGGGCAAGTCCCCACTACCAACCATGTAGGCTGAAGACAGAAGTGACTTCAGTTATTTTAACAGAAAGAATTTATGATAAATGCTAATTTTTCACTGGAGAACTGAAAGCATAAAAATTTGAGTAGCATAGAAGTGGCAACTTCCAGAAGCAGCTAGCTCTCAGAGGGAAGAATGCAGACTCCTGCACACTTAGGAAGCCCGAGGAGGTGTGTTGAGGGGCCCAAACTTGGATGTGTGGATCCTGGGAGCAGGGGCTGTCTGACTGGTGCTAGAGTCTCTGGACTCAGAGGAGGTGCTGTGGGGGTAGGGACCCACGTCTCTGAGGCAGGGAGTGGCACCAGCCTACTGGGGTTGGTGTGCTATGGAGGCACCGTGAGGCTGGGTTTTGCAAGTGTTGGGAAAATGGAAAACTCGAGGCAGCTGCTGCTGTTGGGCACACCTCTGTTGGGGGCTGCACATCTGTGTCCTTCCCCGTCTGGTGAGGTCCTGCATCTCAGCGTGCTGTTATCTGCAGATGGATTCCTTGGGAGATAATTAGGATTGTGTGAGGTCAAGAAGGTGGGGCTCTCAAGATTGTGTTAGCGTCTTTATATGAGGAATTGCCAGAGAGCTTGCTCTCTCTAAAAGGGTGTGTACACAAAGAGTGGATGGTGGTCACCAACACGCTGAGCAGAGGCCTCAGTGGAGCCGTTTGCTAGCCTCTGGTTCTTGATTTTCCCAGCCCTTAGAACTACTGGAAAAGGATGTCTGTTGTTGGAGCCACCCAGTCTCTGGTACTCTGCTGTGGCAGCCCAGCAACCTTGATAAAGAAACTTCTTGGGGCTGGTGAAATGCTATGAGGTTGTCAAATGTGGAAGCGGCCACTTTGAAAGCTGCCTTCTGAGACTCACCTCAACCAGCACACGGGCACCCTCAGCCTTAGAGAGGAGAACGTGTGCACTCCTGGATGTTCATGTTCTCGGACAAGGCACTGCCGCTGGATGCTGCTCCAGATTATCCTCAATCTTCAGACAGCACCCGTCGTCCTTCAAAACTCCCTCCAGCGAGCAGGGGGCTGGGTGGGAGACGGTCAGAAACTATTCATCAACGGACAAGCCCTCCACTTGCTGCATCATAAAGTCGCGAGGCTCAGCTTCAGCAGTTTATTAAATTACCAGAACACCAAGAAAAATAGCTTTAATAACACATTTCTGCCTATCTATTATTTTTTTATAACCCAGAGTGGAGAATTAAAAGGCTCCCTACCATTTAAAATAGCATTTTTAAAATTAAAATGAACATGTTAGAGGGGATTTAAAAAAAAAAAAAAACTCAAAAAAGAAGTCATTGATCCAGGGTGTGATTACTCTAAGCCAACATTTTATGGCTGAATCTTTGCGTAGTTTAAAGGAAGGAGAAGAACTGGTTTTCCTTGAAAGGTTTAGAGGTCTATCAATTAGAACAGGTGATAGACAGGTCACTTTGCCCTCTCATGTGGTTTCATGTTACAAGCGCTAGTTTCCCGAATCATGGCATTCGAGAAGCTGAGTTCTTGTCTAGGGACCAGCTCGCCACCCAGGTGGGGTTCACAGAGGGCACAGCCGTGGGGAAGGGAGCTCTGAACTTTGCAAATCCAAGAACTTCACCAGGACCTTAGAATTGACCAAATTCATGGGTTAATGTATAAACTCTTCTATAATTTCTTTCTTTTTTAAAGATTTATTCATTTATTTGAAAGAGTTACAGAGAGAAAGAGAGCGAGGAAAGACAAAGATCTTCCATCTGCTGGTTCATTCCCCAAATGGCTGTGAGCCCCGAGCCAGGAGCTTCCTCTGGGTCTCCCACATGGGTGTCAAGGGCCCAGGCACTTAGGCCATCTTCTGTTGCCTTCTCAGACACGTCAGCAGGGAGCTGGATCATAAATGGAGCAGCTGGCACCCAAACCAGCACCTATAAGGGACATCAGCACCCTGAGCAGCAGCTTAACCCACTGCACCAGAACACCAGCCCCTATGATTTATTTCTAATGACAGACTCATTAAACACTTAATGAGCTTCAGCTACAAGATAGGGACTGTGCTAAGACCCACGGATAAAATGGTAAACAAATGATACTCTGTGCCCATTAGAATCTACATTACAGTCAATGAGGAGGAGTGAGACATAGGCAAATACCACACAAAATTGTGTAGTAGTACAGGCACAGAGGGTTGGAATAGAAGTGACTTCTTGTTATGTAACAAATTATTGCGACACATAGTGGCTCAAGACAGCAGCATTTGTGGTCTTAAGGCTTCCGTGGGTCAGGAACTTGGGCATGGCTTAGCTGGGTCCTCTGTTTCAGGGTGTTTTGTTTTTGTTTTTGTTTTTGTTTTTGTTTTGACAGGCAGAGTTAGACAGTGTGAGAGAGAGACAGAGATAAAGGTCTTCCTTTTTCCGTTGGTTCAGCTCCCCCAAATGGCCGCCATGGCTTGTGCACTGCGATTGGCGCGCTCCGCTGATCTGAAGCCAGGAGCCAGGTACTTCCTCCTGGTCTCCCATGCGGGTGCAGGGGCCCAAGCACTTGGGCCATCCTCCTCTGCCTTCCCGGGCCACAGCAGAGAGCTGGACTGGAAGAGGAGCAACCAGGACAGAATCTGGTGCCCCAACTGGGACTAGAACCCGGGGTGCTGGCACCGCAGGTGGAGGATTAGCCAAGTGAGTCGTGGTGCCAGCTGTTTCATGGTTTTAGCATGGTTGTTGTCTTATCAGAAGGCTTGGTTGGGGAGGATCTTCTTCCAAAGTGACTGCCCCTGTATTTGTTGGCAGGACCAGATTCCTTCACACCACTGAACGGAGGCCGTGCTTGGATTCTTGTCACATGGGCCTCTCCATAGAGCATCTTAGGACATAGCAGTCAACAAGCAAAAGGCAAGAAGCAGTGCCAGTGAGAGTTTGCTGTGCCAGGGAAGTCACAGTCTTCTTGGGACCAGGCTGCTCGTGGAAGCAACAACCCACACTTCTGCCATAGTGCATTTATTAAAGGTGAATTGCAGGATCTAGGATCTAGCCCATGCTCAAGGGGAGGGGAGCACCTAAAGGCATAAATCCCCAAAGGTGAGGGTATTAGGGGCCAATTCAGAAGCTATCCCAGTAGTCTTGTTGTAATCGAAGGCGAGTCAAGGGGCTTTCTGAAAAAGCAGGGCCAATAGAGCACAGCCGTTCCTGGTTCTAAAATCATCCTGCCTGCATGCAAATCCTAGTCATACTACCTCTCTAAAGTGAAGATGCTTCATTCAACACATATTATTTCGTATCTACTACATCCCAGGTACTGTGGAAGATGCTGAGGAATCAGCAGCGAACCCAGCAAAGTCCCCGTCTCACAGCGGGTGAGGCCCAGTCAAGGAAGGCACGAACACTGCTGCTGGTACCAGGGGTGTCAGCGTAGAGCAGAAAGATGTGAGGGAGTCACAGCCACATATTCCGGGCAGGAAGAACTGGGAGGCAGGGGAGGATCGCAGTGCCTGCTTTCTGTGGTGGTTGTGAATGCAAAACACAGTACATGCAGTAGCCAGTGATGATAAGAAACCACGCAGAAAAGTAAAACACACTTAGGGATGAAGAGCGGGATGGGAGCTACTCTCAGATATTCTTTGCTGCTTTTGGTAAATTTTATTTTGAAATATTCTCAAATATACATAAGTTATAAAGAGCCACCCCTCCTCCCACTCAAGGTCCCTAACCGTTACCATTTGGCTGTGGTGTCGTCTTATTTTCTTGCCGATACAACAGTGGGTTGCTGACCCGATCCGCCACCCCCCTGCTTAGACACTTTCATGTGTATTTTCTAAGATCAAGGACGTTTTCTTTATATAACCACATATGGTTATGAAACTCAGGAAATGAACAATGATAGCATTATCTCATTTATAGACGTGATTAAAATTTTGACAGCTGTAAGAAAGCCCCTCCCCCCCCTTTTCTCTGGTCCAGGACTCAGGATCGTACATTCGATTGAGTTGTCATATCTCTTTAATCTCCTATAATCTAGAAGAGCACCGTAGCTCTTCTTTGCTTTCATAACCTTGAAATTTTTGAAAGTAAGACTAGTTAGTTTTTTCACGTGACCCCTCAATTTGGGCTTATCTGATACAACAGGAAAACTGCTGAAGGTGATGTGTCCTCAGTACCCTGTGTCAGGAGGCACACGACGTAGCTCTATCCCACTGCTGCTCACCTCGTCAAGGTGCTGGTTGCCAGCTTTCTCCAACAGAAAGCATCACTTCTTCCATTATAAGTAATAATTATTTGAGGAGTGAGAGATACTTTGAACTTATGTAATTATCCTGTTCCTTATCCAATTTTACCCACTAGTTTCAGCAATCACTGATGATTCGTGAATCAATTACTATTACAGTGGTTGCTCAATAGTAATTTTCTAATTCCATCATCATCATCCTTGCTGCATTTATTGGTTGATATTCTACTATGAGCTATTTTTACCCAAGGCCATCAAGGAAGGTTTCTCAGAGGAAGTGACATTTGGATGGAGAGTAGAAAGGAATGAGAATTAACATGGAGATTATCTGGGGGAAGAGAGCTAGGGATTAGCAACTTGGAGTGTAGAGAGTAAAATTAATGTCCACTTTATACGGTGCTTGGAAGAGAGTGAATATGATACTCTGTGCAAAACATCCTGCAAGTTTTTACAAAGCCCTCAGTTGCAGCGGTTGTTAAATAAGGGAGTCTAAGCTGAGGTCTACAAGGCAAGAGAACAGGGCAGTGAACTTGAAGGGGAGTCCAGGTGTAGGAAGCATAATTCCAAGAGGGTCCCCTAAGCCCACATCCTTGCATGATCCTCTCCTTCAGAGGGGAGGACCCTGAATATGACACAAAGCTCACTGTGTGATTCAGTTAGTTTGAGTCCATTGTCAGTTGCTAACAACACAATGCCATAGACAGCATGAGTCATAAAGAAGAGAGGTTCATCCTGGCTCACAGTTCTGGCCCAAAGTCGTGGAGCTGCACCTGGCTACGGCTTCTTGCTGGCAGAGTCTTGAGGTGGCACAGGACATCTCACGCTGAAAGACAGCGAGCACGCTAACGAAGCTGCCACTGGTAGCCTCCCTCTTGAGATGACCTAATAGTTCATTAATCCGTTAATTGTATGAATGGATTCATTCATGAGAGAAGAGACCTAACTCCCTCCTTTTTTAAAGAATTCATTTATTTGGAAGTTACTGAGAGAGAGAGAGAGAGAGAGAGAGAGGGAGAGAGACATCTGCAGTTTCACTCCCTAGGTGGCCAAAACAGCCAGGCCAAAGCCAGGAGCCAGTAGCTTTATTGGGTCTTCCATGTGGGTGACAGAGGCCTAAGCACTTGGGCCATCTTCCACTGCTTTTCCTAGGCCATTAGCAGGGAGCTGGATTGGAAGGTCCCACCTGGTCCCAGTTCCTGATGGTTCATGGTGGGAAAGAAATTTGGGAGGAGACAAACCTTAGAAGTTATTCATGTGGCTTCTCACCTCATCACAGGAGCCCTTACAAGGGAAACGGCCCTTCCTGTGATTCCAAGGCAGAGAGCTGGTGCGCCAGGAGGGTTCCATGCATGGGAATTTCTCTGTTGCCGGCTTTGCACAGAGTTGCTCTTGTGACAAGAGTGGGAAGGCGGCCTCTTGGAGTTGAACACAATCCCCAGTGGACAGTCAGTGAGGAGCTGAATTCTGCCGGCCTGAATGAGCTTGGAAGAGGACCCCTAGCTCCTAGCCGAATCTGCTGACACCTTGATTTCAGACTCTGAGATCCTGTCCCCGCACGCTAGGCTTGTGATTTCTGCAAGTTGTGAGATAATACATGGGTGTTGTCTGAAGCTGCTGCGTCTGTTGTACTTCATCAGGCATCGGTAGAGTGAACACCCACCAGGGAACAGCATTCAGAAAGGTGCCGGAGTGAGAGCAGGCGTGAGGCTGTTCAGCCGGGCTGAAGCACAGGGGTGAGCGGGAGGCGTGTGGAGCAGGCAGCGTTCGCCCAGGCAGGGTGGGCAGGTGGATCCAGCTGAATGCATTTACTGAGGTCCTGGGGCCAGGCCCATAGATAGATAAGATCCAATCTCTGCACTGAAGACGCTTACGCCCTGTAGGGGGAAGAATCAACTCAGTGGATAAATGAAGGCCTGGAGAAAGCTACTCCCGCGAAAGCAATGGGGCTCTGGCTGGGGGTGGGGGGAGTCCCTCCACGTGGCAGGTGACAGCGCTGTTCGAGCTGAATGGAATTAAAGTGACGTTTCATCTGAGCCTGTGATTTTTTTCAACCACTCCCAGGGGCAACGCCTTCAGACGGTTTTGGTAGCCACGACTGGGGAGGTGCTCCCGGTATCGGGTGGGCAGAGGCCTGGGATGCTGGCATACATCCTGCAGTGTGCAGGGCAGTGCCTCCCAGCAAAGGGGCTCCTGGTCCAGAGCAGCACCAATGGAGAAATGATGATCTCGACAATGGTGAGACCCAATGACACCGCTCTTCTGGCCCACACAGAACAACTGGTTGATGCTTGCAGCACCTGGGCCGGGCTAGATCAACAGTGACTTCCTCTCTGCCAGATCCTCTTAGGGTTTCATGAATTCCTGTTTTCTTTCATTGGCACTTTTTCCTGTAAAATTATCAAGGTCACCAATCTGAACCCAGTGACCTCTTACACTAAGTTCCTGGTTTGGGTGTGGGAGGTACCAAGAAGTGTGTGGGTCAGTAGTTAAAAACTGGCTCTCAACAAGATGCACATATAAGGCACCTGTGCATACAAGTTGATGAAGTTGTCACTGGTATAGAGGTGTACAGCATGTAATTTTTACATGATAAAGTACACCACACTGTTGACTGTCAGTCCCACCCAGCCGGTTGGTTCTCATAGAACACTTCCCTTGATTTTTGCTGAGTTCTGGTACGTATGGCCAACGTGTGAAGCATCTGGGGGCTGCGTGTGGTTCTGCCAGGAACATTGGCTGATACAGTGATGAGTGAGATGAGAGGGAAGGCATGAAGGCCAGCCAGAACGCCACCCGTTCATCAACGATGTGAGTAACTGCTTTGCTGGACTAGATAATGCTTTTCAAATACAGGAAGGATATTTCCTCAATTTCTGTCCCATTTAGAGACACGACAGGCTTTTCAATTTAATGCACATGATTAACATTCCTCCATCCCCTTATTAGGTCTAGACAATCAACAACACAATAAAACAAGCCCTGGTTTGTAGCATTTCCATGTCTGATTCCATGATATGAACACTCCCAGTCTGGCCGATTGCAGGCTAGCAACAAGATGCCATTGAACCCTGAGCTGGGGAGACACACCGTGATGTAGTATTTCTCCCACGTGGATAGAACAGATATAAACCTTGTCAACAGCATGGATCGTGGTCAACTGTAAAACAATTAGGAGGTGATGAGTTCTTAGCAGTACCTTCATTTTTAATAAAATTTATTTAATTCTAGGTTTAGAGAATTTGACTTGTAATAATGTCTCTGCTTAACAAGCAGTTCACGGAACTCAGGAAAGTTTAACAGCTGATTCTTGCAAGCCAGGGGGAGCCGGCTCCAGCACGCCGTGGGTTTGCCCACGAGGGACCCTTGTGCTGGGGGGCACGCTGACTCCTCGGTGACCCTTGTCACAGATGCAGTCACGGAGTTATTCCACCTGGATCTTCCAGGGACTCTGAACTGCCTACACCCGCGGCGTGCTCATGTACTGATCCAGCGCCTTCTGTCTACACACGTCTCCTGATCCTATGGGCCTTATTAGTCTAAAGGGAAGAAGACGCCTGCTTTTCCCAATCTGCTGGAGACGAATGCCTTTTCCTCGCCCTGCTCCCTGTGGTTCTCTCCCTGGTAGCAGGGGTGGGGCGCTGGTGGGCTGGTTGGCGGAGGATGTATGGACTCATGAATCCTTACTTGAAATCCGCTGATTGTCACATGCTTGCAGGAGGGAGAAGCAGGCAAGGCGCTCCAGGCATTCTCGGTGTGCAGGCTTAGTGTATGCGTGCACCGCTCACCCCAGTACCTCC